GACTGGCTCCTTACCCAGATTCTGCCGCCTTTCCAGCAATCCTTCTGGCTCTTCCTCCGCTGCCACCACGTGCAGTCCAAAGAAGGAAAGAGGTTTGTGGGCAGTCCCACAAACCAAAGAAGTTCAACCAATCAATTCAAACTTCGTGAGAAGTTTGAATTGATTGGTTGAATTTTTTTTAGCCCTACTTTTTTTTTCCTGGACTGCAAATAGTGGCTGAGGACAGGGAGCCGCAGGAGACGGCTGAAAGAGCCGCATGCGGCTCCGGAGCCGCGGGTTGCCGACCCGTGCACTAACCCATCGCCATACAGGCAGGGAAGATACTGTATGTTGTGGACCCCATCAGTTAAAGAATTTCGACTGGTGGGGTCTAAGAAGAGAGCCTTCTCTGCCATTGTTCCCTGCCCTGTGGAACATCTTGCCCTGGAGACTAGATAGGCCTCCATTTTCCTAGCCTTTTAGAAGCGCTTCAAGGCTTGGATTTGCCAACTGGCATGGGGACAGTGGTGGGATACAGCCGGTTCACATCGGTTTGGTAGAACCGGTAGCTAAATTTTGTTGAGTTCGGAGAACCAGCTGAACCCATGCTGCTTCTGGAAGTCCGTTCTAGGCCTCGAGGGCCTGGAGGAGGTCTCCCAGGCCTAGAACGGCCCACCGGAAGTGTGTGGATGTCACTTCCGGAAGTCCATTCTAGGCCTGGTGGAGGCCTCCCAGGCCTAAAACGGCCCACCGGAAGTGCATAGATGTAACTTCCAGAAGTCTGTTCTAGGCCTCAGAGGCCAAGGCCTGCATCCACGCAGAGAACCGGATGTTCAGGTATTTGAATCCCACCACTGCATGGGATCTATCATGCAATCATGGGGGGGGGAATGTTGTGGGTTAAAGGCACTCCCTCTGCCTTTTAACATTTCAATTGTTCCATTTATCTCTGTTTCAATTCAGTTTTTAATTTTGTTTTTAACTATGGCTTTTATATGATGTTTTGTTTGCAATCCATCCAGAGTTAACCAAGTGTGATGGGTGATACGGAAATTTGATAATTAAAAAAATAAATAAATTAGCCAGTTTTGCATCGTAGGGACACGGGCGATGGATTGCGGGGCTCCGCACTCCCCATGGCTGATTTCGCCCTGCCAGGGGACCCTAAATGGGTCTAAAGTCGCCCTGGAGAGGCAATAAAGGAGGAGCCCCCCCTGGATCACAGAAAGATGGTGGTCAATCCGTTTGATCCGGGAGAAGCCCTCCAAATTCACAGGAGAAAGGCTAGTTGCACCTCGGTGACTAGCCCAAGCTACCGGCAGCCAAAGTCCAAAAGCACCAACTAGAACAACTGTAAACAGCGTGTTTGAAACTGGGTGAGAATATCGATCTTTTTTCTTCTGTGTTGCAACTAATTTCCTGGGAAAGATCTCCAAGAAGCAAAAATCCTCTGAAAGTGAGAAGGAAGGGGATCGCAGCTCTAATTTTTATGGGGAACAGAAACATATTGAAATGGAATTTAATATAAAGCTATAGTCTGGATAAATCTGAAAACTGTGGAAATTGTTAAGATTTTCCCTTTGAAAGAGTATTGATGAAATTACAAGAAAATATTTTTTTTCTTTTAAAAGTGGGAAAATGAACAGTTACTGACACCTAGTGGTGGATTAGAGCATAAAACTATAGCTGCCTTGACTCAGAAACTGGCAAGACGCCCAGAAACAGATAACAACCTGCTGCTTTGATCCTCAGCAATTCTCAGCTAAACAGAGAACAGCTGGGAACAGAGGAGAGAAAATACATTGGGCTATCTAATACAGAGTGAGATCTATAATTGTTGCAAAAAATGCTGACCTTCTTTAGGCTCAAGAATTGTTTGCAGAGAAAGAAAAGCCTTGACTTTTGGCTACTCTCCTAGGGGAGAAGCTACTGAATTGCTCCTGGGTGGTTGAACATTTTGGACTGCAAATTTTGGTTGATTAGTAATTGTAAGACCCCTGAGCAGAGGAACCGTTATAAAATATTGCTCTTAGTGGTAGATTGACAATTGGAAACACATTGGACTATAAAGACCACACATAAAGATAAGAACTATACAAGAATTTGTTGTTTGGACCTTAAGATTGGTTGGCTGGATAAAACTAATATATGGGGATTGTGGTACTTGTGAAAGATTATTCAAAGGGGGGAGATAAAATGGATGTTGCGTACCTAACTAAAAGTGGTAGGAAACCATACCCAAGTTTTTTTCTGAAGCTCCCAGCCTGGAATATCGGAAATCTGCAGGAGTAATACTTCAAGACAAGGCAAATATCTTCCAGAAGGAAATGCATGCAATGCTGCAACTAATTGAAATGACAATTGTTTCAAATCATGAGATTAAAAATAATTTTGATAACATAAATGAGCACATCTTTAATCTAAGCTCACAACTAAAAAACCCTCAGAAAATGATGATAAAGAATGAACAAATAAATCAGACAATAGAATACAAATCAGAGGAAAGTGACCCCAAAGATGGAGGCTACAAACGAAAGGAAGTACAGCTTAGCACAGGCAAAGAAAAATCTGCAAGATTCTGTTATAATATTGGAAAAGGAAAAGGCATTTTATCTTTCAGGACTTCAAAATAAACTAGAGGATAAGAAAAAAGATCTGACAAAATGGATTATAGAGACACCAGGAGTACTACTAGAGTTTGGGAGACAAAAAATGAAAAGAGAAATTGAGGGAGAAGGAAAATGGAAGCTCTTTAATGAATATAAAGGGGCAAAACTCCCCCTCAAAAGTACTCCATCTAATCTGTCTTCCCCAGCTCTAATTACATTTATAAAAATACAGGAATAATTCTCTGGCAAACTGAATACACTGACTCAGAAAGTTGTCTGGCAAAAGAAGGCTAAAGTTAGATTCAAGAGATCAGATGATTTGACTTACCAGATGGAATACTATATAACTAACTTGTTTGAATATGGCTAAAAGAATAGATAGATTTTGGATATAAATGGGTTCTATAGTAAGAGGGATGTGATTTATAAATAGTATAATACCTTTGTTTTTTTTTTACATTATAAGAAATATAAAAATACTGGGATGGCTTATGTGAGCGGAATGTCTGGACATTTAAATGTAATTAATTTTGAGAAAATTATAATTGATAAGAATGTTTTGAATATTGAGGGGAAACTAAGCTTAAATAAGAACGTCGAAAACAGGACCTATGGTGATTTAATAAAATGACTCTTCACAACTGAAATATAAGCTGATTAGAAAAGATGTTATACACTGATGTTAATGTTAATGTATAAACACTAAAAAAATATTTATATTTAACTTTGTATGTGTTGAAAGTACTAAGAATTGTATTTACTCAATGTTAGCAAAAGGAAAATACTATTGGAAGAAGAGAAGATCAAGGAAATGTATCACTAGCTAGTATGTTGATTATGGAATCATAGAAATTACCTATTATTAATTGTTATTAAATATATGACCCCAGACCACACATTTACCAAGCACTAAAGATTGTTATTGTAAAAAATTAATAAAATATATTAAAAAATAAATAAATAAATTAGCATTACTTAGGTCTCTGATAAAGCACAACAAACGGACTAGTCTCACCTTGTTCTGAACAGCTCAAAGTAGATAACCAGCTAGTCATATTTAGGATCATTTGGGAACTATTTTCCCTCTTCATAAATAACCTTTAAAACAAGAAAAGAAAAATCCTGAGTATGATCATGCAATGAAATCAGGCATGAGCCAATCCTGGCTCATAGCACAGTTTTCCAAGTAAGAGACATGCACTATGATATGCACTTTTTAAAAAGTGTTTAAACAATGTCTCTGAAAAAATCCTGAAAGAACTAGAATTCATAGCCACAGGAAAAAAACCACATTAAATCACAGGTGTCAAACTCCCGATGTCATGTGATGTGTCACAATGTATCGTGACTTCTTTCCCATTGCCAGCAATGGGGTGGGCCCAGTTTTAGCGTGACACATCCGGCCCATGGGCCGGCAGTTTGACAACCCTGCATCAAATTTACAGCCAGTCCCTTGCTCCACTTCTAACCTTTTTCAGCTGTAAAAAAAATTTTTATGGTACCATGAAAGACCCAGAAGGGACTGGTTTAAAAGCAGCTTTCTCACCTGTGCCTTTCTCATATAATGCAACACCAGTGAAATTGTATATGAAGAGGCGTTTGGGAAAATGTTACAGTATGTATTAATTTGTTTCTCATTTTTATTTCAGTGAATCCCTCCCACATACTTTTTTCTTCTTTTCCCCACTGCAGGTGGGGGAGGGAGTCCCTAACTGCAAGGACCTCTCCAGGCAGTTGCAGGAGTCAATACTGATTTGAATGCAAAAAAAAAAAAAAGAATTTGACAGTATGGGAGCTGTCGAAGAAATAAATTTCTTCTAACCCATGCCTGAGGCATTTCAGGAAGAGAAAACAGCAGCTGCCAAGAGACAGCCACTAGTGAAACCATGCCACCAAAAGCAAACAAGAAAAATGGGATAATGAAAACAAAATCAACTGCACTCATTTGGTTCAATGTTCTGTTCATTATAAAGTGGAGGCATATTTCTTCATAAATATAATAATGCAGGCCTTTTTTGCTGCCAAATTTAATTTCACCATGCATAAAAAAATCGTAGGGCTTGTCTATAAATTCACTATAAAATGATCACATTTTCCTACCTTATTTTAATTTCATATGGAAGTAATCACCATTCATTATGGAATAATTGGACACAAATTGATGTTTTTTAAAAAATTATCTCAGTTCATCAAAACTGGGTTCATTTGTATAACAGTCAAAAATACTGTGCACAACATTTTTGAGCTTCCATCTCTTTTACCTTTTCCTGCTGTGAAGGGTATCAACCATATCTCTTACTGTAGTGGCACCATGAATGATATCTGGAGCCATCAGGAAGAGGTTCCATATAGAAGTTTCATTCTGCACTTGGGAGATGAGTGATAAAAATGTTCCAACTTCCTGGACAAAAGCCATCTGATAAGAAGGATCCTTCTGTAACTAGAAAGAGAAGCGAAAGAACATCTTCTAAAATATGAGTATAGGTAATCCTTGAGTTAAGACTGGTCACTTAATGACTGTTTGATGGACCTCCCCCTCCCCAGAGATACTTATGATATTTGTGGACTTCTGACAACTGCACAACCCTCATCACATGATCACATTTTGGCCATTTGGCAACCAGTTCACCTTTACAGCAATTTGTACATTCCATCATCACCTGACTCCAATTTGTTACATTTTTTGACTGTTTATTTCCAGTTTCCAGCAAAAAATACCAACTGGAGAAAATGACTTCGCTTGATGATCCTGGCATTCACTTATCATCCACCACATACATCGTTCTCAGGTTACATCCATTCATTCAGTGACCGTTCAAAGCTATTACAGTGCTGAACAAGGGGGACTTAAGGCCGATTCTCAAAGTTGCAGCCATTGCAGCGATTGCAACTCAAGTGCTTGGTAACTGGTTCACTGGCTACCTTCATCTTATCCCCACTCCCAGAATGAGACAGCTGTAAGTTGCCACAATTATTGCCACAATAGCTTTGTATTTGTGTTTTCCTCTCTACGCTAAAATATCAATCACAAGGCATACAAAATAACTGATACTGTTAGCATCCATTGTGTCAGGTGACTAGGGATGTATAAGATCAGAATATGGCTTTTTGACTGTTGCAGCTTTATCCAAACACTATTTTCCCCCTCCTCACCTGCCACCACTCTGCTATTGCAATACAGCAGCACTGTGCTGTGGGCCCAGAATTGTGCATAGTGCTAGATTGCTCATCTATTAATACTGTAAATCTAGTGGTGGGATTCATCCGGTTCACTCCACTTCAGCAGAACC